CTATTTTAACAATCAAACAAGTTGAAATTTTTTCTATAATGAATCGTGCCTGATATTTAACAAATTAAACCAACCCTAACATTGTATCTGTAGTTAAGGTAAGTAGGTAAGTAAATTAAGGAATGGGCGAATCCAAACCCGAACATATGGAGCATGAAGCGGGTGGGTTAGCAATAGCAATGTTTTAAAACCCGAATCACATTGATCGAGTCGACATGAGTTTCGGAGATCCGGTATTCTCATTGGAGCTAGCCATACATTTAAACTGGTATCAACCGATCGATTGGGCCAAAGTTCGGTGACTCGATGGGTAATAAAGACTCGGGTCAAGCAGTTTTTTTAAAAAATTGCAATGGCTGAAAATTGAACCCAGCTCAAGAGAGTGAGTATTATTATCACTTATCACGAGGTTATCCTTAATTGTTCGACAAAATGCATCTTATAATATATTCATTATATAATTTTATATAAATTTAATTAAGTCGATTGAATCAGTGACCTACCAATTAAACCAATGACCCAATACCTCCGTCAAGAATCGGGGACATTGACGATTTTGTCACTGTTTGGAATACTATTTATCACAATGCCACGATTCATTGTAATTTTTCCAAAATGCCACATCACATGTTAGCTACACCAATAAGCAAGACTGGATTGGACACGTGGCAGTATCTTGCAGGCCGCAAATCTCGCCCAACAGTGAAGCGAGATTTGTGGTCAATGTGGCAAACTTCCACATTTGCAAAAAGTTGTTCATCTGGCTAATCTTGTTAGGCTGCCCAGCGAGATTATATAGACTATTTTCACGTGTAAGCACCTTGTGTATCTCGCTGGGCTACTGACCAAGTTTGTCTGAGATGTTTCCACATATCAGCACCCTGGGGTATCTCACTGGGCTGCTGGACGAGTTTAGTTCAGATATTTCCACGTGTCAGTGTAACACCCCGTGTATACCCGGTTTGTTAACATATCATCGTATTAAGCTGCGCTTAATTAAAAATGCGGAATATCTTTTTCTTTTCAATTATGACGTCATTATACTTTGCGAGTTGATTACTTAATCATTTTCATAAAATATTGCCTGTATGTAAATTGCAAATAAACATCTAACTAAAATGCCTCATAATATAGATAAAGTGAGTATCTAAAATCACGGATCTACAACACGTAGTCCGGACAATATCCTGATACATTATTACAACTCCTAATAAAGCAAGACAATAATCAAGTCTGTGTGGCATGGGCAATCCTCATGCTCACCAAATCAACAGCGTAACCAACAAAGTCTCAACATAATAATCCATAAACTGAAGCTAAGAGCATAAGACAGTAAACAGGATCCAACATCCAATATAATCATCATAACAACAAATAATCAGCTAAGCTCCGGCCTCCTGCCGCTGGAGGTCTCAACCCCCGCAATACCTGAACCTGAAATGGTGCCCCAAACGTGGGGTGAGATCTCTAAACAGAAATTTCAGTAAGACAAGGGGTCCTCAAGGATCTTTCATCACAAGTTCACTTACATGTGCAATATAAGTTCTAAAAGCAGTAATTCAATATAAGTTCTCAAAACTATGCAGTGCAACAGATATTCATGCCATGTGTGTTTAAACTATTCTACTGGCCAGAGAAATGCAGGAATACGTCTATTACCTACATGTAGTACAAGGAACACCGCTTGCACCTCACTCACAGCCTCACCATATTGTATGTACCACATACTCAGGTTTACCGTATAGGTGGAACACCACATGCATATCATTAAAAGACACTAGCATATAACAGCTCAATAGCATTTCAAAATATCCAAAGCATGTAACACAACATGCATATAACCATACCCCCACGGGACATGGTGGAACCACAACATGGCTAAACCGAGGACACAAAAGCTTACCATGCAAGCTAGCTATCCCAGCCAAGAGTCCACACAATCTCAAAGTCCAAACACAACAGTATCACAATCTGTTACGGGCCGATAATATATCAATAATCATTCTCTACAAGCATTCAACAAAAGACAACGCATTTTCTTTCACGTTTTACGTCTTAAGGCTTCATACAAAGTCATAAGCCCTTAATCACTTGATTTTGACTTAGTTCAATTAAAATAGAAGTTCAACTTCAACAATCTAGGATCCACAAACCCCGAATAGCCCACTGCATGAACACTGCAGCTACTGTTCTTCGAAATCCCAGAATATCCGGATATTCGTCGGGGGCATATCTAGATATCAATATCCGGATATTCAGATCCCCATATCCGGATATTCACAACAAAATATCCGGATATTTCGCGACAGAACCCAGATTCTGCATTTCGCGAAAATCCAAACCAAAGGTCCAACTTTTACCGATTACAGAAGCTTACACATGCATTTCTAAGTGTGTTAAGCATTACCCAACGTTAGGTTTTCATCTTATCTTGTTACATGCATCAAGGTTCCATTTTTAAGCATAAAAACTCAAGTTTAAGGGTGGTGATCATACCACAAGCTAAAGACATCAACAAGGAAGGTGTCTTGATGGTTTCTAAGTCCTTTAACAGTGCAGCAACCCAAGACCACAAAAATGAGCATGTAGGTGGCTCTTAAACTCAACAAGAAAGCTCGTTGGAGCTTCAAAACACCATATACAAGGTCACACTCCACAAGAGCAAAGAACACAGCCCCTAAACTACCAACACAGTACACCCACACTCATAAGATGGTTCCTTTACCCTCACCCATCACACACCCAAGTGTTTGCAAGGTTAAAGAGAAGGAAAATCAAGAGAAAATGGTGGTTTGGTCACAAATGATGAATGAAGAGCAATGGAACAGTGATAACCACTCAGCCTCCAAGTGTCTCACGTAGAAAACTGATGTGCCTAGGGTTTTGACCCATCACAAGAGTATATATAGGCCACTTAAGTCGTAAAACACACAGTATTAACTTTAATTGCTATGCTTAGCATTTTAATCCCAAACTCATGATTCTTAACCTACTAAATTTTTCAAGAATTAACATATTTTTCTTATATTTTTCGCAGCACATTTCCGGTACGCGTTTTTCATAGCCAATATCAGTTCTGGCACCAGTTCTCATTATTTTAACTTGAAACTCATTTTAAAAGTCCTATATATTATTCTAGGAATATTCATGCACTTATTATAATTTTCCGGGATACTTTATCGGTACGCATTTATACCGACTAACAGAACTGGTATCTGCACTTTTCTTCCGAAAAGCAACTTTCAGCATTCTTAATCACTTATCATACTTATTTAAGCCTCATAATAATGATCAAGGTCAATTATGGAATTATTTCGTAATTCTCATATATAATTAATTAATTTCCTTAATTAACGGTGCGAGTTCTTACAGTCAGCACCCTGGCCTATCTCGCTGGGTTGCTAACCGATTTTGATTGTTCTAAATATAGTAACTAAACTTTGTTTCTTTTAGTGATACAGAATCAAAGTATTAAATACCTACCTCACACTTCCATCTACCCATATTTATAGGTGGTTGTATGCAATGTCTTTGTTTTTCTATTTATAGTATAATATGAATTGTCCTAATTTTTTTAATGAGTTAGTATTATTGTTATCTCTTTAATAAATAAATAGTCCTTACAACTTTAACTTATTCAATAATTACCCTTAATTTGTGAAAATTTATAATTAAACACTATCAATTTTTTCCTGACCACAACATTACCCCTTGTGATATATTTTTTGTCTCAAAATAACTAAATTTCTCTCATTGATGCGCATGTAAATTTTGGCATTTATAAAGTAACAAAACCTAACAATTACTTATAAACGTAACTTAAATGATAACTAGCATGGTATTTTTGTTGGGGTTTGGCGCACATAACTCACTAACTTGCCCAGGGAGATTCGTGCAGTTGTGACTTGTGTCACACATGCATATGTTGGGTGTACAATTGCCACTAATCTCGGTCAGCAACAAATACTCAAGGTGCTGATATGTGGAAAAAGTCCATCTAATCTCGTTGGGCAGCTCAGCGAGATTAGCCAAGTGGATAACTTTTTGTAAATGTGATAGTATGTCATATTGACTATAAATCTCGCTACACTGTTGGACGAGATTTATAGCCTATAAGACACGTGTCTAATCCAGTCTCATTTTTTGATAAGGCAAGAATATGACGTGATATTTTAAAATATTTTCATTAGATCATAATATTGTGATAAATAATACTTCAAAAAGTGGCAAAAAGGGTAAATGTATCCGAGAATCGATGAACAGACAGAGTTTTAAAACACTTGGCAATAGCATGAATCCTAAGAATAAATCTTTAGGTGGCGTTTGGTATAGGAGATTTTTTTTTTTATTTGGGAAAAAAAATTTGCAGAATAAAAGTGGCAAAAAAAATTTACGGGGAAAGATGTTTGGTAGGCCAAAAATTTTGACAAGAAAGTTGGATTAATTTTACTAACTATGTTTGGTTGATTATAAAAAAATGATGAGAATCTTTACCAAAATTTCCAAATTACCTGTAAATTTTGAATGTTGTTGATTTTCCTTGTGTCACCCAACGTTATAATTTAGGCAGGGTCCAACTCTTTCGCTGATATCTAGGGCTGAGGGTGTTTTTGTCTCAAAAAAAAGTTTCCATTTTTCCCCGCGTCGCCAATTCCTTTTTCCATGTTTTCAATGGCAAAATGTCTCAACGTAAAATGGTGGAAAAGAAATTGACCGTAAAATTCATTTCCAACCTTTACTTCATTTCTTCCCTCTACCAAACAAGGCAAATTCGTTTTCCATACCACATTTTCCATGACAATTTTTTTTTGTCACTTACCAAACACTCCCTTAGTGCTACTATTGCACTAAAAATTCAGTACATTCTACCAATAAAAATATTACATCTCAACTAAAATTTTCTTTTCTCTACGTGTAATGGTTTCATTGATGGATGAACTGAGACCAAAAATTTATTCGAATCCTAGGTCTATTATCATCGCTATCTATTTCTTATTCTTCTTGTTCTACCTCTTCTCATACTCACTCAGTCATGGCCTGCTCAACTCCCTCTGCTTCTCTCCTCTCTGTGAACCCTAGAATCCTCTTATCTCCCAAATTCCCTTCTTCCTTTTCTTCACTCTCCATTCCCAATTCCTCCAATTTTCTTTGCAAACCTTTACACACTTCCCTCCCTCCCTCTATTTCCGTCAATCGCTGCTCACGTTCTCCCCGCAGCTTTATTGTTAGGGCTTCTGTAAGATTTTTCACAAATCCTTTTTGCTTCATGGCTCATTAATACCTGGTTGTTCTCAAGTTTTGTTCTTGAGCTCGGTTGTTGCTTATCTTTCCACAACAGTTGATACATTGCACAATTTAAAAAAAAAAAAATAGTTATCTACAATTGAATGTTCCTACTTCTGTTGATGTTATATGTTCGTTGGTCTCTATGTTGGTGTATTTGTCTCTCCGCTCAATAAGATATGGTTTCAGATTCTACTGTCTCGTTTGGGGCTCTCTCTAGTTTCACTTACCTGTTAAATTTTCCTGGCCTTTGTGAAATCACTACATTGATGATTGTGAGTTTGGTGACAATGGAATTTCTGTTTGCAGCATTGTCGAGCTTATCAGTAGATATATATGATAGTTGTTGTTGCACTGAAGTACTTATTAATTGTAATTACCGGAATTTATAGAATATCTCGTTCATGTTGTAGGAGTCTTATTATCTAGTCATTGACTATAGTAGCTTTATTGATGAAGTTGAAAACTCAGTTTTTAGAGCATAATTTTTCTCTGGCTTGATCTCTGAAGTAATTTATTTTTACTTTTTTCATTTTTAAAGAGTGAACTTCCGTTAGTTGGGAACACAGCACCGGATTTTGAAGCAGAGGCTGTCTTTGATCAGGAGTTTATCAAGGTAGACTGCCGCAAGCCAAAGCAAATATAAACATATTATGAGTTTGTGCAGAGTTTTTTTTTTTTTCTCTCATTATATCTTTATTATATAATGCCTTTTGAAAGTTTCGTGCTTAGAAATTCATTTGACTAAAGCCTTGTCTTTTCAGGTCAAACTATCTGAATATATTGGGAAAAAATATGTTATCCTCTTTTTCTACCCGTTGGACTTCACATTTGTCTGTCCGACAGGTTAGTTGATATTTTAGTAAACTATAGTCTGGTCGTGATAGTTGTGGTTGTGGATGCTAAATCTTCTCATGTCCTAACATATTTTACCTGTCTACAGAAATCACTGCTTTCAGTGACCGGCATGCAGAGTTTGAGGAACTAAATACAGAGATATTGGGTGTTTCAGTTGACAGTGTTGTGAGTTCGTTTAGACTTTGTTTAATAATGATTTCCTCAGCTTCTGGATCTTATATAAATGTTTTCCCCATAGCTTTGACCCCATTTAGTGCAAAAGGCTTTGGTTGTTGTTGCTGTTGTACTACATTTTTCTTGATATGATATACTTCTGCCTGCGTATATTAGCTACTGAAGAAAATAAAGGGTGTGCAGACTTGGCCCACTTACAGTCTTCACATAGTTTAAGGCCTTAATGATTCGTTTTTTAGGAAGAAGCTATGATTGAGAATCCTTTACACAATTGGCAAAACTGTATGGGTCTTTTATTTTCATTTTTCTCTAAAACTTGCTGCATAGAGTTTATTATGTATGGAAGAATATGGTTAGTGGAAATTATTTCATATATAATGGAAAGTGATTGGGCAGCAATTTCATTCAAACTTTGATAATTGAAATGTGTTTTTCTTTATCTACAGACTACAAATGTAATGCGATTCATAAGATTTGTAAAGGATGTGATCTTTGCAGACTGGGACACAATATTCCCACCTGCAGATGCATGCATGCCCAAGAAAAAATAGCTCTTTATGTTATAATCTACTCCTTTCTCTACGTTCACAATTCCTATCCAGAGGAACTTCCACAGTTTGCTTCTTCTTGATTAGTGGTTCTATTGTTATTATTGTAGTTCTCGCACCTTGCATGGGTTCAAACAGATAGAAAATCAGGTGGTCTTGGCGACTTAAAGTATCCTTTGATTTCTGATGTCACCAAATCCATATCAAAATCATATGGTGTTCTCATTCCTGATCAGGTATGTTTTGACATCATGACCTAAAGTATGGCCATTCATTTTCCTTTCCTAGCAACCCCGATTCTTTTGTGCTTTAGTTTCAGTATGTTCTCTTGAATGAAATGCAGGATGTTGTCTTAAGTAATAGCTTTAGTATTTTGCATGAAATGGTGAAATGTTGGCTGTGAAACTATTGCTTTTCATTCCACTTTTTTGTTCTTGTGTCACAATGATTCCAAATGTTTCCAATGAATTAGGGGATTGCATTGAGGGGATTGTTCATCATGGACAAGGAAGGGGTTATCCAGCATTCTACCATTAACAACCTGGCAATTGGTAGAAGTGTTGATGAGACAAAGAGAACACTCCAGGTAATTAGACGCTTAATTTGGAAAACACTAGGCTTAAAGGTGTTTATTTTATTTTTATTTTTATTTTTGGTTTCTTTTTCCATTCTATCCTTTATATAATTTTTTGTTCCAAATTATGTGCATTGGTCTTGCAGGCCTTGCAGTATGTGCAGGAGAACCCAGATGAAGTTTGCCCTGCTGGGTGGAAGCCTGGTGAGAAGTCCATGAAACCAGACCCTAAGCTTAGCAAAGAGTACTTTGCTGCGGTGTAGGGAGGATAATACTTAATAGTAACAAATGCCCATATGTATCAATTAGGGATCTTAAAGCATTTTGTTTTATAAATGTGAGTGCTCTTAAATTTTGAGGCTTTGGAGTGAAATCTGTAATGATTTTACCATTTAGTTTGTTTATTATCTGTATATCATGATTGTGTACGAATAATGCTTTAAAATCTATAATGGATCTCCAAGCAGTCGTAGTTCAGTGACTTTATCAAGCAAGGAACTCTTAACTAGAAGTGTGAAACTGATTTTAGGTGTATTCAGAATGTTACCAGTTAAGTATGGCTATAATGTGTATCATTACTTTCTCAGTGTCCATAGTGTTCGAAGTTAACATTGGTGTGCAAGGATGGAAGGTAGAATTAGCACTGTCCATGATGGGTTACGCCTGATGCAACAGATAAATTCAATTTGGTATTGCATAAAACGCAACTTACATCCTTTTAATCAACCATCATAATAATTTGAATTACTGAATGAAAAAAGTATTTGACATTTTTTATGTTATTAAATATTAATAGTATTATTAAAAGGATACCTAAAGAAAATATAACATTACTCAAACTGCTATTCATGCGTTAGACAATAGCGGCAAATTCATTGCAGCTATGGAACTGTTTATAAAGGAAGCCTCAGTCTGTCTGATTTTTAAAAATAATAATAAGTTGAATCATAAAAATAAAGTATTACGTTTATTTAAGTAAATAAAAAAATGATCATCATTTTAAAATATGAGCCTAGTCAAAAATTTATACTTTGGTTTATATATATATATATATGGTTTTATTATTCTCCTTCAACATAAGATAGGTATCTTATGTTGTAGAGATAAAATGGGTGGGTCCCGCCATTACAAGAAAAAAAAAAAGGTGAGGTGCGGAAATCGAAGTGAGAGAGCAGGAGAGAAGTAATCTTATGTAAAAAAAGAGTAATATTTTCCATATATATATATATATATATATATATATATATCATTTTAACGATCTTAATCATGTTCGTTGATGTTATTTATATTTAATTATTTTTATTTATTAAATATTTATGTTTGAAGAATTTTTTATTTTATTTTTCGGAGGAATGGCTTATGAGCGTTTTATCCATATCTAATACTTTACTGACTCTTGTGCTGTTGCTGTATTCTCTACTATTTCCTTAGAAATTCGCCCAGTTGAACATCACCCAATCTTTGTTTTTGTGAACGAAAGAGGCAGAGAGTGCTGAAAATTGAAGGAGTATGTCCCTACCCCAGAAGGGCCTCTGTTGTGGCTTTGACATTCATAACCATAATGTAAGCTCACTCACGCTGTCATCAGTTACTGTATGCAGCAGCACCAGTTACCATAGCCGAAAGACGCCATTAAAATCAACTCACATCCACATGCCCAAGTCTCCACTTCAATCAGTGGATCTAATGACAAGTGGTAAACCATGGAGGAAGTTGAAGCCTTTATCAGCAGCTCTTCCAGTTCCACCGCCGCTTGACCTCACAGAAAACAACGTGAGACAGGTTTTGGTCGATGCTCGAGGGGAGCTGGGTCAGATCTTTGACACTTCTGTTGGTATCACAGGTAATTTGTTTGTTGATGAAACAACAAGTGTTCACTTGTTGGTTGGTGGTTGGTGGTAGATTATGTAATAATGAATGGGGGTTACATATCCTCATCTTATCTTTCAGGAAAGGTTGAACTGGCGGAGTTGGATGGACCTTTCGTGAAGATTAGCCTCAAAGGTCGGTTTTGGCACGAGCGTTCCATGGTCCTGGCCAGAGTGGGTAATTATCTGAAACAGAGGATTCCTGTACGTATCTTGCGCTTCTTTTCTATATATCTTATCTTTGGCAAAAACATCCACACTTTAGTTTCCTTTTTTCTGCTTTGGTTTCAGGAGATTTTAGAGGTTGATATAGAAGACGAGAAACAATTGGATGACAGTCCTGAGAACTTCTAAGGTACTGCACATGGCTTTCCACTCTTTTTCGATTACCCAATTCCTTAGATAAGTGGATTTGTTTAGTGTAATTTTTAAGTGGATGAGAAACCGTTAAAAAGATCACAATGGGATTATCTGTACATTTTTGCTATCTTTATTAGTTGGGTAATAATGTTACTTTCACATAGAACTTTCTCTTATAATTCTCATCATCATCACCCATTTCTCTTTCTCTTTCTCTTTCTCTCTCTTTCTTTGTTTTATCAATGTCGATGGAGTAAGTTGAACTATCCATATCCTCATCATTTGGCAGAGTATTGCAGTTTCCTTGTTGTCCAGTTCGATATTTCAGTAATAAAAAATAAGGTGGATTACCAATAACTCATGCTGATACAATGCTATGTTCATCTTACGACTGTTATGTTTATATAGTTCTACACTGCGTTTAGCTGTCCTTACATTTGTGAATACCATGGTGCTTCACTGCTTCTAAGGTCACTAATACTATCCCTTTGTTATACACATTCCTCTACAGCTTATGTGCTTCTAAGGTCACTACCAAAGCCAGTTGAAACACAAGGAATAGGATTAGTGAACCTGTTTAAGCATGGCCTGCATGAAAATGAGAAAATAAATCTCATTCCCTTTTCAGTTTTCATTGATTGAATTTTTTTAGAACTTAACCATAAGCACATAGCTTTTTTTTCGATGTTTTTATGATTATTCGTTTGACTTAGATTTGGTTCCAAGAATCTTCCCACATCCTTTGGGTCTGAGCTTAATCCCTTTCTCCTTCCTCACTTTGTTGACTTGATTTGAAATGATTAATGACTTCCTTGATCATAAAGATAAAATAACTCAGATATAACATGACCACATGATCACTTTTTCACATAAGAGGATTCAAATCCAACTCAGATACCCTTATTTAAATTTATGTGAAGTCATTCAATGATTTTACTTGTGTTTTTCTCTCTCAAAATATGATCCTCTCATGTAATGCTTCTCCGACAATAATGCTTCTCAGACAACCATGTTGCTTACTTATCTGTTTTATCATATTTCTGATGGGCAGTGTATAATTAGGCAGGATGATTTTGTTGGATATTTAAGTGTGACGAGTCCCACATTAGTTGGTAATGAGCTAAGTGAAGAGTATATAAGTGGAAAAACTCGTGAACTTAATGTCTTAAGATTTTTAGTTGAAATATAATGTCGGACTCACTTGATGTATTTGAGCTAGCTTAATCCATTGATAATGGTCTCTCGCCACGGACTTCCTCTTGGACCCACCGTTATCCTATCGTTTCTATGTCTTGTAGTTTGACGTTTAGCCCGCTTCAGACACAAAAAGAAACTTTGCAATGATGAACCACTGTTTTTTTTGGGTAGGGCAATGATGTACTTCTATTTCATAATAATAATAATCGTTACAGGTTTTTCATAAAAAATTAGGAAATTAAATATTTTTAATTTCAAGAAAATGTAAGTTTGTTTTATTTTTAATTGACAGTTTATATTAAATTACAGGTTTTTCATTTCATTAATTCTTTTTTATTTCACATACTTAAAATTTTGAAATGATAAACAATGTAAATCAAACCAAAACTCTTAAATTAACAAATATTTTAAAATAAAAGAGGAATAATTTAAGATACGACAATTTGTTGATTCTAGTTGTATGGGCCAACAAGTTAATTATTTATTGCAAGGTATGGTATGTCTTAGCCTTCATCTTCTCTTCTCTTTAAATACGCGATGAAACACTATTCATATATACTGGTCTTGTGGGACCACGCTTAGATACGAGTTCAGCGGGACCACGCTTGTACCCATCATTTGATATCTTAATGATGATTGCCTAATTCAAATCTAACGGCTCTGATCTCCCGAGTGCAACTTATTTAATGATGGATATCTCGCTAACCTCAGCTACACGTGTATATGTATCGCACCGGATCTTATTTCTTTACGTCATTAGATTTTTTTAAGTGTCATATATTAGAAACATTATTACCGCATTAATATTTTTTATAAATAATTTATACAATATGACATCAGGGAGTAATATTTTTATGTTTAATTTTAACATAAATATATCATGCGATAAATCTTAAATATCTATTAATAGATCAACAATTTAATAATAAGAGGTAATATATGTAGATAGTTTTTAATGCTAAATAAAATTTAAAATTCATCGATTTTATAAATAAAAAATTTGTTTTTTTTTTTTTACGTCTGTGACGTGTCTCCCTCTAGTTGGCGTTACTTTCTGTCAAACTTTATCATTGGTAGACAGCAGAGGAAGGCTTGACTCGCAACAAGTTACCCGCATGTAACTGTGTCATAAATTAAAGAATACCGTTGAAGCAAAGCACTAACCTAATTTTCTTTGATCATGTGAGAGCAACAGAGGATTTTCCAGGAACCTCCTCTGGGATGCCAACCCTTGCTTCGAAATGATGTAATGGGCAATTTCCTGCCAACTTTTTTTCTTTTTACAAATTATACTATGTCTTACTGATAAAAATTCATTCAAAAGTGTCGTACTGATATTATGACTTAAAAATATAACCTTTCGCTTTGTTTAGAAGTATGAACAAAATCTTTGATTAATTAATTATATGAATCAAGTAATTAAGAGACAAAAATAAAAAAGTGGAATGATTCGCATCTCGTCGTTGCAAAGGCAACGGTACCATAACTTTCATTAAAGATTTTCCACATTTTTGAACTACCCTCATTTTCCGTATACTAGGGGCATTAACAAAAGGTTGAAAGAAAAAAAAAACCGTATTGACTTCTACGGTTCCTATGCCCGTATATGATGGAGGATTCATATGTACTCAAAATGATAGCTAAAAACCCAAAAACCGTGGTTCACGAATCAGCTATAAAGAGGATCGATCACATGGCAACTTCTGATTCAGGCACATAATTTAGTCTGTCTTCCCACACCAACTTGGATGCAAACTCATCTTGCTCAGTAACATGTTCCTGCCTCCAAAAAACATTAATGATACATTTAGCTCCATTCAAGGACATCGAATATAGCCCAACTTGATTTAGCCACATGCATTAACTAAATTAGTATTAATACTACATTTCAACTTTGCTTTTCTCAAAGGAAAGGAATCATCTCTCTTGCACCACAAAATATTGATCATTTTATATTTATAAAGTGAGAAGCAATATTGACGCACCTCTAGTTCTAGCATCAATTGTTTGGCTGTGGGTGCTGACACGATAATGCGACGTGCCGTGGGGGAAATAAAGCCTTCATCAACGGCCTTGTCAATGAAAGACAACAAGGAATTGTAAAATCCATCCACATTCAACAGCCCCACCTGCACCTCACATAATTAACAAACAGACACTATGTTACCACCAATCTTCATTGACCAACAAGTTTATTTGTTTTTGCGGTTTTTTGTCATGCATTTTATATTAGTTATGTAACATTTTCCTCCCATCCAAACAGGGAGAACCTTCATATAATGTAACGTGACAACGATTAACTACACAATTGGAGGCTCTATCCACTCTTGCGAATCTTAATTAAATAGCCCACATGTACCGGTTGTTTAGAAGCTTCCTAGTTATTGAACATATTTATATATATAGACATGAATCCCAAGCTAATAAAACTTTATTCACCGAATCATATCCAATAATCAACTTGGTTAATTAACCAAAATAATTTGACTATCTAAGTAACATAGCAACTGATGATACCTACTAGTATGTGCTTTAGATAGCCGAAGGAAAACATAAATAAAAGGAATTTGACTAGTTTACATTTTTTATTTTTATTTTGATAACAACTAGTTTACATTTTATGTATAGTAGAAATTATCCCAGAGAGCTCACAAGAGGGCAATGGAGATTATTTGTTTCATTTTGAAAGCCACGGTTTCTATCATATTACGATATTTTCCCATCTTTCAGGCACCTCTCCCATACGTTTCTCTACCAGCTATGTTACATATTGTATATTGGTCAACGAAGTTTGTAACTAATGAAATGTCATTGGTATCCACCTAATCTATGTCACCTATATTGTCTAATTCAAGATTGGAAATGAGGAAGATCTTACAGGTTTGCTGTGGATCCCAAGCTGAGCCCATGTAATTACTTCCAGCAATTCTTCAAGGGTTCCATATCCTCCTGTTGGATGAAAAATGAGTATAGCTCTATGTGTTGCTCAAAGATCAAATATCCCCCTTCATATGAGTATAGCTCTTTGTATGAGAAAATTAAAATCCTTACCAGGGAGGGCAATGAAGGCATTGGCTTGACGGGCCATCTCGGCTTTCCTTTGATGCATATTAGATACGGCTCTCACTTCCCCAATAGGATCACCCGTTATCTGCATTCGCAACATAACCATGAATATTTATCATAACTCATTGATGACTTCCATATTGAATCTAACTAGCTAATATTTGAATTTTAAATCAATTAATTGTGCTATCACCATGTAATGAACTACAAAATAGTGAGTGATAAAGGCCTAAAGGGATATACCTCTCTTGGCATGAGACATGTCGGGATAACCCTGCACAAACATGTCCATGGTCAGAACCAAAATAAAAACACAAAAAGGTCTCACCATTTCAATGGTCGAAGGTAAAAAAAAAAAAATTTTAAGATTATTTTTGGTGAATCACATAAAGACAAAAGAACGGTCTTAAACTAATTTAATGTGGAACAAGGAATCTATGTTGTCTACAAAGTGCAAGAAAATAAATTTTTTTTTTATAAACATCATGTCTGCTCCAATTGCTGTGTAAAAACTTTCTACCGTCCCTTTCTGAAAGGGCTAAAAGGTATTCAACTTTATCCAATAGAACAAAGCTACTCAAGAAGCTTCTAACTACCGGTAAAGGTCACACTCTTAAAAAAAAACAGCAACGGTGCAGAAGGCCTGTTATATTGATCCCTGTGAAATTATTTTATTTATATCCAAGTTGCTCCCTTTCAAGCTACATTCGGAACTTATATATGATTAAGAAATTCCGTAATGTTCTACATTGGTTATTGCAACACATTACCCAGAAAATATAGGGAAACACTCATGAATCAAGTAGAAACACCAAAGTACATTCAACTTCTTAAGAAAAAAGAAAAAAAAAAAACGAGGATCAGCAAAAGTGATTAAGCTGGCCAATTCTCATAATACACACAAACACAAGACGGAATGGGAGTGTGTGAGAGAGAAATAGAGAGAACAAACCCTAGAACATGGCGCCCACCATCATGAACTGCCTGAGAAACGAGACCCATTAGCCCCACGCTACCACCTCCGTAGACCAAATCAATCCTTCTCTCAACCTTCAAAACACATCGAAAAAGCAAACCAAGTAGACGCGTGTCACTACATTCATCATGAAAACAATTAAACAAACCAGACCAACTGTTCGGACATGGCTAAAATAATAAAATTTTATTATAACGATTTAGTGGAGGATGTGGTCAATAATAATCAATAGCAACCAAAGGGGTAAGATGCTAAAAATAAAATATTTTAAAACAATGAAAAAAAGGAATGGTAGTGAGAGTGCTGACCATGTTTGGGGTGACAAGTGACAACCCCTGGCCATATTGAAAAATCATAGAGGTTTTTGTTGATGGAAGCTTGTGGGGAATGCCAAAGGCTAAGAACACGCTTCATAGAGTAATGATACCTAGGTAGCACGTTTGGTTCCCTGGGAAAATGTGGAACTATGTGTTTCTGGGGTTTTTTTTTTTTTTTTTGTTTTCAATTTAAGAAATTTATTGTGTTGTAACAAATAACATAGTATTGGGAAAACAAAGATCATGCAAGAAGGCTGCTCAACTGACAGGCATATTACAGCTAGCAATCTCTCTCTCTCTCTCTCTCTCTCATGCCAAACTTAAACCCTAAACCATACACTCACTCCTTAACAATCATAAGCCCGCGTTGCGACTCGAGTGCTTGTTTATTTCCTTTTACTAAAAGCAAAAGAAAAAGAAGCAAATATAGAATTCCAGAGCGAGAAATCAAAACGGATCATTAACATGTAAAAAATTTATAGGAGGGGAAAAGTTAGATATAGAACAAAGAAAGCTTAATATAGCAATGCGGCTGAATTCGCTTTTCGCAAGAACAAATTTTGACAAGCGATTAAAAACAAAAGAGACAAAAAGAATAAACGCAGGATTTGATAAACGATGAAAAACTAAAGCGTATTTTATTTACTTATTTTTTGCTGAAAAACTCCTCTCCAGAAGAAACCAGTTGGCCTCTTTTATGTATGGTGTAGCAGGAGATTCTAACCAAAAAAAAAAAAATTTAATAAAAAAAGAGAGGATACATTACCAGCTCCTTGCCAAGTTCTACAGCAGCTTCTTGATAGCTAGCTTTTTTCCCCGAACTGCTCCCACAGAACACGCAAATTCGCTTGAACCTGGATTTGGTCTCTTCCATTTGTCTTTGATGTAATATTGGCTAGACCAGAGAGGGAGAGAAGGAAAGAGGGTTGAGAACGAGAACGAGGTGACTATTTGTTAATGTGCATATATATATATGAAACCCACATCTCAACCTTTTTGGCCAATGATATTAAATATTTAAGAATAATAAATAATAAATTGGGAAGGATATATTTACCACCAAAATAGTTTTCCACCTTTACGACCAACTTAATAACGGTTGATTTTCGTAAATCTAATGGTTATAATTTATTGAATTTATAGAAAATTAAAAATTAATTAATAAATATGATCCAATAAATTATAACCGTTAGATTGACGAAAATTAACGGTGATTAAGTTGGTTGTAAATGTGGTAAACTATTTTGGTGGTAAGTATATCATGCCTCTAATAAATATATATATGGAAAAAGTATCCTTTTTTTTTTTTGATAACAGAAAAAGTATCCTTTTAAATGACACAAGCTTGTGTTCTTTTAGGTGTTTTACACAAGTATATGATCGGTCATACTTTGTGTAAATATAAAAAAATTACTTTTTTTTTCTCTCTCCTCAGTCACATCGCTGACGTGTAAATTGAAAAAAAGTAACTTTTCATATTTACGCAAAATATGACCGGTCATACTTTGTGTAAGTCACTAAAAGGACACAACTTATGTCCTTTTAAATGACACACAATAAGGGCTCGTTTGGTGGACAGGATAGGATAACGATAGGATATGATATGATGTTGATAAGGGTAGGATATGATATGAGGCTAATAAGCCGATATCATGTCATGTGTTTGATGATCACCTGATGAACAATCTGATAAGATTATGTAGAAGGAGAAATGAGAAAACAAAAAACAAAATATAATGCAATAAATACAAATATATTGGGTAGCGTGGGGATATATTGAGTATCCAATATTTGTATCATATCCTATTGAATCCTAACCCAGCTCCCCTCATAGGATAAGAAATCATGTATTGGATATGATAAAATGAGACAATATGATAAGCTAATCATATCTTATTGACCCACCAAACAAGAGATAAAAGTAAGATATGATAAGTTATCATATCCTATCTTGTTTATCATGTGCTCCAAACATGCCCTAAAACCATAAATATAATATATAAACTGGTTCGTATAGTTGTATTTTAATTTTTAAGGATTCTTTTAAATTCATTCAGACTTTTGAAAGAATTGTAAATTAAAAAAAGAAAAAAATATTTGTCATTTTAAATGATACAAAAGTCATATTTAATGAAACTATGTCATTTTGACAAGATTTTATATTTTTCCCCTCCATTTTCTTTTTATTTCTAATTTTATAAATTAGAGAAAAATGACAAAACACATCAAAATGACGTCATTTCATTGAAAATGACACAAAATTGTGTCGTTTAAAATGATAAACACTGAACCCAAGAGAGAAAAATATATAAAAAGTGAGTTTAGTTGCACTGGTGCATTCTTTTAAATTCGTATAGAATATTAAAACAATAAATTAAAAGAAATATAATGTGTAGCTAGTGTAAATTGGCTAATCTAACCCAACATATATTATAAGTTGTTCTGGCCAGCTCACATCTATAGCCCAATCGGATCTAAAATCTTTTAGAGAGAACTTATGAAGAGCCATTGAAGCTCATCACTAGAATATATTCCTCCCCCTCGCACTGCTGCCCTTGCTCATTAGGCAGAGGTTCAGCATGTCTAGCCTGAAAAGACTAGGCTTACTAGGTGACAGTCCTATGCTTTTTTCCCCCACGTTTGATAGGGATTTTCCCTCTCTAAATATTCCCCTCACTCGTAGAAGGGGCATCATCTTCTTCTCTACTCACTTCATATGCAGTTACTCTGCACAAATGGTACCACGTCTTAGTCACTTTCACACACTCCCCCTTGATACACATATACATGAGAAGCTTTAACAGAGTCGTAGTCTATACCATGGCTTCTAAGAGCACCCCTAAATCAACAAACTAGACTCTCCTAGGATACATCTATGCAGTGGCAGAGCCACATGCTACTTGGGGGTGACCTCGGTCCGAGCTAAATCTTAACAAATTGTAATTATCATGTATAATTATATAATTAATTATAATTTGACCTAGTCTAAAATTATAATTTGGCCCGGGCTAGAATTTGTAATTTGGCCTTATCAAAAAATTAAAATATATTTGGTGAGAGATTTGAGTAAGTTGTATTAAGTTACGTGTTCCATTTTCACTTATATAAAAAAAAAAAAATATATTTAATAAATAACCATTTTTTATGCTCCCTGGTTAGGCATTTTGTATTTAATATAATTTAAATATATTATATTATGAACTAAAGAAATTAAAAAAAATACATACACATATAATTTTTTGACCCCGACTCCAATTGAAGCCTGGCTCCACCACTACATTTATGAACCACCGGTTCAGAAGTCTACGACATTTTTTCCTGACCAAGCTAATCCAGTTCAGCCCATTTACTTATTTAATAATTGAAATAAAATTTAAATTAAAATGATAATAAAAGTAATGTATGTTATTAAAAATATATAATATAATTAAAAGATGTGTGTTTTAAACAAAATCAATGATAATATATGTTAATTTTTAAGAGAAAAGATATAGTAAAAATTAATTTATCCACAAATTAACATTTTTAAATATAATAAATATGAATCAATAAGATATGAACCGGATATTTTTAGATGATTAAATTTATTTTATACTCATAAAGAATTTTGTTAGACTTTTAAAATATAAATAAAATATTTAATTTTAATTATTTTTTTATTAAATATAATTTGCATAACATTCATTTATTAACAAAAATGTATCAAAAAGTATGTACCAAACAAAATTCAAACGAAAAGTACATCTCAATTTGTTTCAAAGTCAAGTATAATGTATAAAAAAATAATCAAATCAAGTTTCGTATTTCTTCAAAAAAATAAAATAATGATGACAAGCATTTTATCGAATATTCCAAACTGAAATAATCATCAGAAAAAGAATGGATGGAAAAATTATAAAAAATGATTGATAAAAATACAAAATTAAGGGAAATGGCCAATTAATCATTTCAAATGATATCCCTTTACCAAAAATAAAAACTATCCTAAATGATTGTTACTACTGATAGGATTATTGATTTTATCTTTAATTTTGTTAGTTGTCTGCTTAACATTGTTTATTTTAAAATAATTAATAAAAAAAAACTAGCTGTGAAGTATCACTGTAATACATTTATTGACTTACAGATTATCTACCAGATGTTATTATGCAACTAATATAAAATTAATTAGGTCAGCTAAAATTCTCTTAAAATAGGCAAAGATGTTGTTTATCCACCATGCATGTCACGTGCAATTCCATGTTCTTTCTGGAACTTTGGATTTTTTTTGAAAAATAAATACCATGTTGTCAACTGTACATATAAAATATAAATATGTCGGAACTTAATCCAACACCAAATGAAGATATATGATTTGACTATAAATATACCAAATTCAATATACGATTGAAATTGAATTAATGTATTTATAACTTCGGCAACGAGTAATTTACAAGAACCCTTCCCGGTAAAGGGAAACAAATCATTCTTAAAATCTTCTAAAAGACTGTTCGCATGCATACAGACCCCGTTTCTGTTTCTGTTTCTCTGTGTGCTAATCATGGCTTCATCTCGTGAAAATCATGCTCTACCTTGTCAACTTAACGATGCAGTAGCCATCGCAACAGACGCTTTTAAATTTAAAATTCGAATATTCCTTAATATTCTATGGTTAAAAACAACTGTAAAATTGCATTTAAAAAATGATAGAAGCAAATAAATCAACTGTATAGTGAAAAATGTCATTTGCACCATAAAATAATGGGATTTATTTTTTGACGTTGCATGATAATTGTTTCCACATTTATTAAAAAATTAAAGAATTATACATAAATCGAAGATTCACAACATAAAAAAATATTTTTCATACAATATGAAAAATATTTTTCCGTAAAATAATTATAGCATATATTTGAGGAATAAAAAATGATGTGTTTGATTGGTATATATATAATTTTACTATTTAAAAAATTACTAAAGCAATGTTATATAAAAATTGTACTTCTCAACTAGTGATTGCTCTCACCTGATAGAATATTTGACCATTCATTCCAAATTCTACTTCCTATTTTATTTATATCCATTCATTTAATTTAAATATTATTTAGTTTAATAAATAATAATTAGTATTTAAATATTATTATTATTATTATTATCATTTAAAAAATAAGATTAAGTTCATTGAATTGAATAATAATTAACACAATGACTCTTTATAAATATTTTAAAATTTTAAAAATATCAAATTTATTCTTAATAATAACAGATTAATAATTGGTTTTTCTTTTTCTAGAATGATATAAAATAATTGATATCATTTAAGATGGTAAGTGATACCATGTATAGTTTTTAATTGCTTTAAGTGTCAGACTTGTCATAAAAGTTTATGATTCTTGAGAAGAATTATAAATATTTAGATATACTTGATATCATTATATTTTTTTATAATTCTAATTAATATTTTCATGAAGGAAATGGGATGGGGAAGGGAGAAAATTTTGTGACAAATGACCAGAATTGTGTCACATAACAGTATTGTGGCAATCCTGCTGACCCAACAGCGACTCTCGTTGCTATAAATCATTAATTTGATTTTGAGATTGATGTAATTTCTGTTTTTTTTTTCTTTCTTTTTGCCATATTACGGCCAAAATGTTTGTTTCATGATGTAAGAAGTGTATAAAATGGTTAAACAGGTCAAAAACATGTCGATTTAAAATATTGATATTTTACTAACCCTACTCATATAATGTGTGATTGAGAGTTTATTGAGGTCGTTCATTTTTCAAAAAGAATGGGATTTTTTTAACTTTAAAAAATCAGTACATTCTTGCATAAAATTAAGATTATAAATTAAAAATGCAACAAAAATTCAAATGTTCTTTCAAATTTAAGAAATTTTATATAGTGATCCGGGACTATGATAATTAGGTGATCTCTTTTTTAATTTTGGAAAATTATGTTTCCATCCCAATCCCTCACTTTTTAGGAAATTCTCTCTCACTCCCTTGTTTTTTACCATTTCTGGAAGAGACCATAAGTACCGGGTCCACCATACTAAACCTCAAAATTTAGGAAGGGAAAGTTGGGGATTTGGCTTCGTAGCTGACACAATAAAGAAGCCTTGCTTGCTGAGAGTTGAGTGGAGCAGTTGCATCCTTTGACGGCTGAAATTTCGATAATAGTACACGTGCCACAAGCCACCATCAACAAAATCGGGATATTGACCATTTTGTCATGTATAGACAAAAAAATTATCAAAATGTCACGATAACAGTAAATTTTGTCAAAATACCACACGGCATAATTCGCTACACAGTGTAGGAAATTATGTATGCAAGTAATTCGCTACATAATATAGCGAAATATGCCATGTTAGAACCAAAAATGTCACATGTCAAATTTTGAGAAATTTGTTACCCTGTATAGCGAATTTTGAGAAATTGACTCCCTTGTGTAGTGAATTTTGCAAAATTTGATATGTGGCATTTTTGGTTCTGTGCGTTCTGACGTGGCATATTTTGCTACACTGTGTAGCGAATTATACCGCGTGACATTTTGACAAAATTTACTGTTAGCGTAACAATCTGGTAATTTTTTTGTCCAAACGTGACACTTTGGTCACTGTTCTCAACAAAACCAACTAGTCACTCTTGAGCTGAGCCCTCTACCTGTAGGGATATTCATTTGATATCCCGTACAACTTCCTCACATATCAATCAGTATTGTAATGGGATTTGCTATCCTATAGAAATATTATCAGTCTTGTGGGGATGATATCCATCGTTCGACTGGTTTGATGTGTAATCATTACACTTTTGCTTGATTTATGCACTTCTGATTGATTGATGTCATTTTGGAAAAGCCATGAATGAGTTTGTTGGAAGAAGTGATTAAATGGATAACTCTGAGTTTATTGGCACTAAATAATACGTGAAATGCGTATAGCAACACTTATAATAATGTTAAATATATATATATATATATATATATATATATATATATATATTATAAGAAAGTATTTCTCTCTCTTATACATACATTTATTTTTATGTTATTTTTTTCTTTTTTTATATTTTTTATAAGTGAATGGATTCACATATGATTGTCTTTGTAATATGAGAAAATTTCTCTCTTAGATTAATAAAACTCACATATATATATATATGCTGATTATTAATTTAAAACTATAATAAATAATGTCTAATGCGTATTGGAATTAATTATGAAAAAAATATTCAATAACTGATAATGTATGTAATTAATTTTCTTTAAAATTATATTTAGTGTTAATTAATCTGTTAATTAAGATATGATTTTAAAATAATTTTTTTTGTTTTAATTATATATAATAAGGGAAAACATTTTCTCCTTTTAAAGGAGAAAATTTTTCTCATGTTAGTGACACATTGTATAAGTGGATCCCACAAAATAGTGGAAAGAGAAAAAAATTAAAGGTGAAACCCACATATGCTTTGAGTCACTAACATGAGAAAAATTTTCTCGTTTAAAAGTGCTATCAAAATAGATATGCGACAGGAACATTGCAGAAGCGACTGGTCCCTAGTTTGAAGGACTATTGCTCAGAGCAAGTAGCACTTTGTATTTATGATCTACATTGGTATATGGGAGGAGCAAAAGCACGATGACAGGGGAAGGTATAAATTTTGGGAGTAGATAATCACATCTGAAAAAGTGATGATGTGATCATGTTATTTGATCACAACTACTCATCTAAAAATTATATATTTTTCTCTCTCTTATCTCATCATCAATAAATGATTGTGATTAAATAACATAACCACATTACCATTTTTTCATAGATCCACTCTCATAAATTTTTGGTGTTACTGATGCACCAAATATTCAGTACATCCTATCAATAAATATTACATGTCAGCTAATTTTTGTTTCTGTCAATTTTTTTCTTTCTCATGATGTGTAATGTTCTCATTAATAAAATGCACTGAATCTTAGTGCATAGCACCAAAAATTTATTCCCGCGAAAGTGATTAACAATGCTGAGGGCGTTGTCGCTGGTGCGAAGTTAAAGCTTCTAGCTTTTCATAAGACTCGGGTGATTGGTCTTCATTGTGGTCTGTCTCGGAATATGGCCACGCACTGGGCAAAAGCTAATGAATCTATTCTGAAAGTAAATGTTGGCTGTGTCTTCTTCTTGAAAGATAATGATGATGGGGTAATGATAAAGACTGGAATGGAGGCGGAGCTATGAATGGTGCCAAGATGAAGAAGATAATTCACGATGCACACGGAGATGAACTTCTGAAAGCTCACATGGACGTTGTTTTGTAAAGGAAATGGGTCTTAAAACGTTTAGTTAGACTTAGAGCTCGTTTTGATCGATTTCTCATAAAACTGTTTTTTATATCTTATATTTATTTTAGAAGTATTTTTAATAAAAATTAAAATTATTTAGATTTTGAAAAAATATTTATTTTAAATACGATTGATACATTAATTGTGATCGGTGATTGGTATATTAATTGTTCCTATTGTTACAAATTCGAACTATGTTTGTAATAAGGTGTTCATCAACCAATTCAAACCGATTCAAACTGCGGTGACCGAACCGAAAAATCAATAACCGAATAAACCGAAAACCGAAAAATCAAAAACCGAATAAAAATCGAAAATTTTAATTAGATTGGATCGGATTTTGGATTGGTTGATGAAAACCGATCTAATATATTAATTCCCCTTTACTTACTTGAGCTTTTCCCGATTCATAGCCTAAAAATTTTTAAACCCAAGACTCATTAACCCATCAACTAAATTCAAGAAAAAACCTAGTCACATCTCATCAACAAAATTTCATTTGCGTAGAGCTTCATATCTCATTGCAAAAAAAAACTATATTATCGTTTACTGATGCTTTTATTTTTTAAAAATAAATAAATTTGCAAAGTCAATATATACTAAAGATGTTATTTGCATAATAATTATGAAACAAATTTTAGAATTTTCAAAAAACCGAAAACCGATCCAATACAAACCGAAAAAATTGGATTGAATTGGATCGGATTTGAAAAAAAATCCAAACCGAATGGATAATTACATGATTAAACCGAAGGGATTGAATCGGATGATTTTTGATTTCAAAACCGATCCAATCCAGACTGTGAACACCCATAGTTTATAAGAGATAAAATATGTCAAATGAGATGTCATTGAGTAGATCTTGAAAAATTATGTGAAATAAAATAAAAAAATATTTGATTTGGATATCCGAATTAAAAGTTATGGCCCTCAAAAGTTATTGGTGATTGATACAGTCAAAAGTTAATTATGATTGATACAGTCAAAAGTTAATCTCATTGATATGCTAATTGTGATTGGTACATTAATTGTGATTGAAGATTAGTACATTAATTTTGATTGGTACATTGATTAAATAGTTATTTTAGTACATTATTTTCCTAACTTGGTTTCTTATCTTTTCTGTGCCGAAGTCACTACTTTTATAGGATGAAAAAAAAAAAAAAACTCAAGAGGAGTAAAATGAAAGAATGCACCCGATTCAACTATCTACCAACAGTTGTTGTAAGCATCGTTTAGGTAATTATATTTCCAAACTAGGAAGATATTAACTTTTTAGGAACAGTGACCATTTTGTCATGTTTGGCAAAAATTTTTACCAAACTGCCACGCTAACAGTAAATTTTGCCAAAATGCCACGCGGCATATTTCGCTACACATTTTGGCAAAATTTACTGTTGGCGTGGCAGTTTGGTAAATATTTTTGCCAAACGTGACAAAATTGTCACTCTTCCCAACTTTGTAGGAGTTTTTGTGTTAGTCGAGGTGGTTTTCTCCGTAGGCTTGGGTTTTTCTTTAGAATTCGACATTCAAACTTCTCGTAGGCTGACTTCCATAGTAACGACATACTATCTTGGTTCTTGATTTTGAACGACCTCGAGATTTATCTCATTCTCGAATTTTTCTCTTCCATAGTCCCTGTTCGAAATCGACACGCACAAATCGAAAAACAAAAGAGAAAGGAAAGAGAGATTTGACAGAGTAATTTATCCTAATTCACTGAATGTAGGTTATGTTCAGCTTCTCTCTACTATATTAATCTCACCGTCACTCTTTATAAGTCACTATGTTTACAATAGAACATTAGTATTTAGAAAACTATAACAACAACTATTCTTGTAAACTAAGTACTGCAACTGTAACACCCTCCTTTTTATGCATCCAAGAGAGTTGTTTGCTAAGCGGATTAGAGTTTTGACATCATTACTTTGATATTGAAAACACATCTTTTTGTTGCTAATTAAAACTTATGATGAAATCTGGTTACATACAAAAATCAGAGTAGACTTTAAAAATTTCCTAGCTTGCTGAAAATGTTTAATTTCCTGGCAGACCTTTCTGTCTTATAAAATTCATATAAAATCGAGTTCAACAATTCAAAAAAATATTCTTTGTTATAGAGAAAGAGCACGTCGGGGGCTTCGCGTGCATATAAAATAATAGCAATTCGGAGGTCGTTTGCCTCTCTCGTAATATAACTCGCAAAGTGCTCGCAAAACGGTTTATAAATCAGCACTTAATAAAACGTTCAGAAATTTTTTTTTTCGCAAAACGTTTTCAGAATTTTTTGTTTTCCAAGGTAATAACTGATCATAACAGTCTTAAAACTGTAGCTAAATCATAGTTCCAACAGTAATCCAAACTTCCCAAAATAATACAGTCATCCATCAAATAAACAGCAACAGCAAAAATCCAAACATCAGCAATTAACAGCTAATATCCAAAATAACCATGTCTTCATATGCTCTTTCGTCCTCCTGCAATTTTATAAAAATTGCAGCCCCAAAGGGGTGAGAAAAATCCCAGTAGTGTGATAGCAAAACCATTATTGCAATAATATTAGACTAGGTACAAAATTATAAAACAGTCACATAAACATTTCATTTTCTGGAGAAATATTAACATATCATAGTGCGTATATAACGCCATCATTACGCTCATAGCACCGTCGTGCGCGTACTAACATACATAGTGAATATTCCATAATGGCTCCCTCAAAGGTGAATTCCAACTGTGGCCTATGCGGACGGAAGCCAAGTGTCCCATACCCTGGTATCGGAGGGATGCCTATATGATGCGTGCTCAATCATATGCTTACTTTAATTATATACTTCTGCTTCTAACTTGGATGCACAATGTTGTATGCCATGATATGCTTCACACTCACAAAAGAAACAGATGAATATGATGTGCATATGCATGACGAAATCATCATCATACTAGCATATCTTTCATGTAATTTCCATACCAAGCTGTTGCATAACCATTACTTCTCATAGCAGAGTTTCCATTTGTCACATTCATAGGCAGCACACGTATATCATATAATAGAATACAGTCCAAGGCATATGTGAGCAACAATTCACAATTCTATACACTAGCTAATAATCACAATAGGTAATGCCACCTAACACTTACCTTGTGTGCCCAAATATAAATCAAACAACAGCGAACTCAGTCCACATTCAAGGTTTATGCGCACCTAATCAAGTGCACAACAAATCAAAATTTTATTCATACTAATCTACTATTTATAAACAATTCCAAGCCTTCCAAGTTCGTGTGTTTTAAATCGGTTTTAACACGCTTCTTATACTAACCAATTCCTGTCTTCATGTTAACTTAATAACTTATTAACGGTAGTGAAATTCAGAGTATCTAGCATGCACAGGTTCGATTACTTAACATTAATAGGTGCTTATGACAGTTCCATTTACATAACCCGTGCTACGAACCATGGAAGTGCTAAGTGACCTTTAATCAGGCTGTATCATAAAATATACTACTGCAAGTTAGGCACGTTGACTTACTTTACCAAAACAGACCGACACTTAATAAGAGCTATTCTTATAAACTCACTATTCGATTTTCTAGCCTTCACAAGATGCACCAAAATCCTATTGTCACAACCTTTTCCACAAGACTAAGGGGCGGTTTAGGCTTTCTAGCATACTATTTTCTAAGTTCATGACATAAACAATTTTTTTTTAATAATTTTTCTGACTTCCGATTCTTTTTGCTAACTTATTAATAACAGAATTGTCCAAGGTTTCCCAAGCCTTCCTACACGGTTTTTCACCTTAAAGAGGCTCATGATTTGTTATCTACATTTGTTACATTTCTACTCCCATTGTGCGCTAAAGGGGAAAGCCTAGAGCATGCTGTCCAATTAGTTTAATGCATACAAAATTTGATGCACCGTAAGGTCCAACCAAAACAGTCCAACCCTTCTAAAAGAGACTTCTGTTCCAAGCTCCCAACATCGGGTCCTAAGCTGGCATACACCAAATGTTCCAACGCAGCAGAATTTGAAGTAAAAAGAATAAGGAACTTACATTCTCCTAGGCTGCACACAAATCCGAAACAGAGAAGGGTGAGAAGTCTTGGTTTAGGTTAGGTTACTTCCTTGTATGCACTCCACGGTTCACCAATCAGCCAAGAAGATAATCCCCAAGGTAGGTGCTAAGGTTCTCACCCTTTCCTATCCCAAGCTCGCGAATTCAGCCACATGTAAGGGAGTTTATCTACTCTTCAAAAAATTCAGAACCACAGCTACAAGGGATGGAAGTATTTCTTTAGAAATCGGAAGGAGCCTGGGGAGACAAAAATGTGACGAAAACACCATACCTCCTTGAATTGGTGAGACCGTGCACAAGGAGGGCAGAGGAATGAGGCTGAGTTTCGGACACACTCTGCATGCAGTGGGAGACAGCATCCAACGAGCCACATCATGTGCACATAAGGAGGGACTTAGTCAGAACTGGTGGAGTAGGAAAGGAACCAAAAATGATGAGCATCTCACCTCCTTGCTGGTGGTTACTCGGCCGAAGGGTGAAAGGAGTACCCATGGAAGCTTAGATGGAAATTTCTCTCTTGAGAGATTCACGGTCTTGGTGGAAGAAAGCGAGTGGCTGCGTTTTCTGGCCTAGACCCAATGTGCACGATCGGTTCTGTTGTTCTTTTTGTGCGCTAGAGGAATGATGCTCAGCTAAGTTTTTCTTCCATGCTTGAAGTGGATAAGGGAAGAGATTAGTTTTCAGCCAATTGATTTAAAGTGAATATTTTTGTCCCCAAAGATGGAGTTTGGCCGAAACATGAAGGGAAAAATCCAAGTATCCATGGGTTGTACAAGTGGCGGACATGCAACAAAAGTGACGAGGGAGGATAGGGTGTGGTCTTTTGACCAATGAGAGGGCATGCACACTGATTTCTTAGGATTAGTCAAGGATAAGGTTTAGTGTTCAAGTATCAATTGTTCTCCTATCTTAGGAATTAACCCTTGCCTTATTAATTTATGTGCCATCCAATTATTAACTAAGAGTTTATTCTTTGTAATAATATTAATCACATATTTTTAATGAGTACTCGTATAATTCTAAGTAGTGTTATGCTTTCTATATATTATAATTAAATTATTCCTATACTCATAGCTAGAGTTTCACATGCATAAAATAGGTACTCACCTTCCATGGTAATATCAATAATTTCCTAATTTAATTTAACTCCACCCTAAAGCAAACATTTATATAATCTGAAGGCAAGTACTCTACCACATTCCTAATTGCAATTTAAATAGATTCCTAATTAGACGAGATGTTACAGCAACGAGTGCGGTGAAGAGAATATAGTGCATATTGCTGGACGTAACCCAGGAAAATCGTTGTCTCAAATTTTTTTTCCCTTTCTCTCTTTTTTGAATTGTGATCGTGTGTGTGTGATTGTTTTGTCTCCAACAAATACATCATCAATTTTCATCTCAATCTTTGTTAATTATTTCACAAGCCCTTTATAGGTGTTTAAGTGTTTGATCATAATTTGTCCATCCTTATAGTCCAACTTCACCAATCAACGCATCGGGTCAAGGTTGTGGATCATATTACCAGTTAGTTGCGGTTATGTTCTTTTTAAATAAAATATTGTAACTTCATTTAGTATTTGTAATTATTGTAACTTCCTTTTAGGATTCCTTGTATCACTTGACAGTAGTTTCCATATATATATATATATATATATATATATATATATATATATATATATATAACCATGTAATTGTTGTTATGCAAAATGGAATCAATTCAAATTCTCTTTTGTTGTTTCTCTCTTCCTTTCTCTTAATGTCTTATTGTTGCTACTCACGGCAAGTGCACCGATCGTACAAGTAATATATGATTAAGTAAGAGATCGTTCCCACGAGGATTACGGTTCAAGCACTAATTCACTATCGCAAACTTAGTTGGACAATCGAAAGTGTATTTGGAAACAGGATTTGAATTGTAAAATTGAAATATTAAATATTAAGCTAATTACTTGCAAGAATTAAAGACAAGAAATTAAAGATGTGATTTAAGAATGTAAAAGAACGTAGCTAGGGGTTCGATTTCCTTTAATCTCCTTATTATGATTCAAAGTCCTTCTTTACGTTAACCGTCCTTAATATCAATCTAACCAATTCTTTCGCGTGTTATTAGAGCTCAATCCCTTGTTACCCTAAAACCTTTACAAACTTGAAAGAACCCTAGTTCCCCGGTTATTCCCCAAGAATGCAAGCATTAAGTTCAAGAATCTTAAGGTTACGCAAACTCTATGTCTATTCCTAGAATCATAGCGTTTACGATGAAATTATCAGATATGGATCACACACCAACATCCCTATTGTCATGCATTTACCGATGATCATTATATAAGATTCAAGCCTATATAAAGCATTAAAAACAGATAACTTCATTCATGATAAAAAGGAAAATTAACGTACGAATTATTCAAAGCATAATAAATCGACTAAAATCCATCTAACCCTAACTACTTAAAGAACTAGCCGGACATGGCAAAATCAAGAACAAAAGAAAATAGAAAGGCTCCCCCAAACTCCATAGGTGATTGGTGGATCTTCAAAATCTCCAGTGAACACTTGACGTTGATCCGTCTCCGCCGCTCACGAACATGAATCTGATGTTTCTTCGCGTTCCCTCCGCCTCCAAGCACCCAAGAGTTGTTTAGCAATCTAAAAGTTATGTATTTCTGGTCCCCAATGGCCCTTTTATTGGCCAAGAGTTCGTATCCTAGTAGAAAACTCGAATGGGCCTAAGTTGGATCTGTCTGGGCGCTTAAGCCTGTTGTAGCGCGCTTAAGCGCCCTAGGACAGTGAATTCTGATTCGCGTTGCGCGCTGAAGCGCTCTGAAGGGCGCTTAAGCGCGCTCCTCGCGACAACTTTTTCTTCTTGTGGCGCGCTTAAGCCCTGAGTTGGGGGCTTAAGCGCCCAGAGGCAGTAGCTATTTGCGTTTTTAGGGAGCTTAAGCTTCTGAATGGGGGCTTAAGCTCCCACTTCTAACAACTTGATAAGATCCTCAATCTTATTGTTTTTGATCTTCTTCTATCATCTCTTGATCTTATCTTTTCTAGTTGTGATCTCTATTTATCCAATCTTCATCTTTGACTCCTTTTGTCAACAAATCCCTAAAAAATAGCAAAGATGATTCCATTAAACAAAAATTCAGATAATGTTCATGATTATTATATTAAACCTTAGTTTTTGACTTATTTAACTTGATATTTTATATTAATTTAGTCTATAAAATAAGATAAACTAAAGGTTTATCAAACAATTCCCAGATTTGAACATTGCTGTCCTCAGCAACTAATTAGAATAAAACTATGGGAAAGTTTGAAGACGGCTAGTCATGCTTAATGAATATCAGGCAGAAAACTGATCAATAATGAGATACCAAAGTATTCAGACTTATTAAAATCAATGACACATCCATTTCAAGCAAACAACCATAATTCACCAGTCATAAAATCATAACATGCGTTCTCAAAAGAAAGAGTAGTACAATTTAATTCCCACAACACCCTCTCACTGGATTTTTATTTATTCACTCATACTCAGTGTTTAAGGGTATGTGTTTCACTCTTACTTTACTGAATTAACACTACCATAAGCTTGTTTATATTCTCACTCTCCACAGTCTTACTACTATACAAAGTCAATCAAGAGGTCTTTGTTAAGGTTGTAACGTGGCTTTAGATAAAAGGGAAGGAATCATCTGGGTAAGTGGCGTAAGATAACTGATCAAAATTCAACTTCAAAGAGGAACTAGTTTAACTGTTCAACATATAGTAAACAGATTTCTCTTATTTTTCTTCTCTTTTCTTCTTCCACTTATTCATATAATATGAGTCTTTTATTTCTTTTCCCTTTTCCTTTTGTTTTTCTTTTTCTGTTTTTGTACAGATACACATTTCAACCTTTTTCTTTGCTTTTCTTTTCCACCACTTTTTGGCTTTTTCCTCTTTTCACCCTTTTCTCCCATACACTTAGAGTTTGATTTTCTCTTTTTGTTTCAATCATATCTAGTCCCTCATTTAAATTTGAAATTTAATCAGTTCAGGTGAGGATGTGTATAAAATGGCTATTCACAATAAGCTGTCAATGAATAAATAGGCCTAGGCTCAAAGGGGCTTCAACTAAGGATGAACATCAGGGTGGCTATTTGGCTATCTAGCTTTCAGAAAGAACTGCCTCTATCATTTCAACAATTGTATACTACAGACCATTTCAAAGAGAAACAAAACAAGTTCTAGAGTGATTCATACAGAGAAGTTCACACCACAAAAAAAATTCTGTTTAGGCTCAAAAGCTTACGGCGAAGGATGTGAGACTTATTTCCACTCTCTCTTTGATTACTCTAGTTATTCTTCTCTTATTCCAGTGAACTATGAAGCATGCTTGACTGACGCTCATTTACGTACGAAAATAAAATTTATCTACATCTTTATACTCTTGATATCAACTATCAACCAATTTCATGTAATTATTCATTATGCATCCATATCAAGCACAATGGAAAACCTCTTAAGATCCACTTAATTATTTATTTATTGACTAAGATGGAAGGGGTCTTAATAAAAAAAAAAAAAAAAAAAAACTTAAATATTAACTGACTAATATATATGAAGACCTTAAAATAAACTAATACTAAATCAAAATAATTCTAAAATAAACTAATACTAAATAATATAAAAATAATGAACTATAATATGAAAATAATATTAAGAAACTCCCTTGAAACACTGCATTTGTAATTTGGATATTTCTGTGTACTCCGTGTAATCATGAGTTTCTCCTTCCGACCATGTGAAGTTTATGGTCTGATAAATTGCGTTGGTACCCATTCCCAGATTTAAATCTTGCTGTCCTCAGCAATAAATTTAAATCTAAAAAGAATCCTAAGCAAGATATCAGAAAAAAATGGTAATGTACTCTGCACACATGTCACAGATAAAGAAACTACGTCAGCATGTCATCTATCCAAAAACAATATCAGTCATGTCAGGTCAGTCTCAATATACCTCCATGTCTACATGCACTAGACTAATAGTAAAAACAGCAAAATAATAATTAAAAAATAAAAGTCTGAAAACAGATAAACTGATGTGAGGGTCAGTCCTCCTCCATATCAGTGGTGGGTGTGTCGTCATCTCCTGCATCCTCCTGGTCGTCTCGAACTATGGCCTCAGCAGCAGTGGCATCATCTATGTGGACTGCATCACTCTCAGCAGCGGCCGTCTCAGTGTCAGCAGCAGTGGTCGTGCATGGGGCCTCCTCATCAGATCCAACATATGCTGGATACTCGAAGGGTAATGCCGGAATCTCTCTCTGGCGGAATAACTCCACTATCTGTGTACTCATATAATCCTGAAAGGCCATCTGTCTGCTCTGAGAGTATCTAGCTCTCCTCTGCATAGATCCCTGCTGACGCTGCAGTGACTGCACTGCCTCCCATATAGCAGGGAGATCTGGCTGTCTTCCCTGCTGAACATGCTGTGCTGGGGGTGCTGGAGGGATACCCATGGTGTAGTTAATGAAAGCAGCATGAATAGGGGGGCACACTTCCACCGGCTTGTGTTCGGTGGGTATCTCTACTCCCGCTTTTTGGCACAAGGTCTGAATAAGGGAGCTGTGTGCAAGAGCAGCTTTCTGAGATTTATGATGGGCAAAATCATAAATACCATCTGCCAACAGCCAAGGAAGGTCCACTGTACCACCAGTCATAATGGTGTAAATGAGAGCTGCTTTGCTGACCTGAACTTCTGAAGTATGAGTGGTAGGGAGGATGTTGTTGATGATAAACTGGAACCATATCTTAGCTACTGCATTCAGCTGTCTTATCTTTAACAGTTTGGGACGGCGGCTATCTGCAGTTAGCTCCCAATTTTGCTCTGGAAGTGCAATGGTTTGCAGAATAGGTCTTGCCTCTTCCACTGGATTCCAGGTATCATGATCATTGCCTCTGACAGGCCCATACTCAAGCCTACTTAGTAGTCTTCTGTAATCACACAGTGTTGTTCTATGATGATGGGCTGTCTTCAAATGTTCTTGTAATGCATCCGCATCATAGAATATGCTCTTGCCCCTGACATAACTCTTGTATATCCGCCTTGCCCCTTTCTCAAAATTGTAAGCGTTTGCGTAAAACTCCTTGCAAATTGTGCCGGAGCTATCTGTCAGTGATATTGCGTAAGAGTTCCACCTCCTGCGGATTAGGTTGTTGTAGAAATCTGGGTGCTCTCCGTCATTCAGCACCATTTTCCTTTCCCGAATGATAGGTTTGGCTGCCACAATTTTGTATCTCTCTTCGTGCTCAGCTGTTGTGAACCTATGTGAGTCAAAATCCGGAGGGGGGGTGGAGCTAGAGGCAGCTCCAGGGGCTGTGGTCTTTCGGACCCTTTTTCCCAAAGTCTTATCCTTAGGAGCCATATCCTGAAAATCAGAAAAGTTTCAAGTCAGTGCGAAACCCACGAAACAATTCCCAGATTAACATCAGGTTGTATGCTGAAATTAATAAGCAGTATGGAATCAAACTGGAATTATTATAATGATTGACAGTTGCTCATTCCAACTCCTGTGTAGACGATCAAGGACAGTAATAATCAGCAAGGTATTCCCCAATTCGATCATATTTAACACATTAAGACATGTACATTGGACTCTCTTTATCCTGTCCAAAACTATAATTCCCATATTTGCATTAGTGTAAATTCTGGTTTATGCTCAAATTATCCTATAACTGCAGGATTCATATTTATGGCAGCATGCATATATAAAGTGAATCATATGTTTTACAGTTGTTAAATATGGAAATTCTATGCTATTCATTCTGTTTCAATCATATGTACCTATTCTGTCACAAAGTATTCCAAATGATTATATCAGCAATTACGTGTGACTAGAGTACTGCAGAAGATATGCATGAATTCTGGATTATGATTGCATTCCTATAATATGTAACCTTCCCTTACTTTTCAGGATTCGAGCATATGCATGAGGAATGGAGGTTCTGTTCTTTTGGGCATTTTGTCAAATACTACACATGCATGTGGGTTCAACTCTCTTTTACTAAATTCGATGATAAGTCATGTAAGGCTGAAATAAATCAAACAAAATAATTTGATAATTAATGACCATATATGAATCAGAGGTTGAATAATCTTGGCCCCATTCCAAAAACATAATTCTCAACCTTTGGATATCTATATTGGGGCATTTCATCAAACGGTTGGAATGCATGTGTTTTCGGTTTTCTTCCTAATTTCAATGATGTGTTTCCTTACCCAAAGATCAAAATAACCAGATCAGGTAATAAGTAACGATGTAAATCATATTTCAATTCAATAGGGAACAATCATTTGAAAACATTCAAAGTACAGAACCTTAGTGCGGTTAAAATAAAATTTCCAAGAATCCAAATCCCAATTCAAGAATCCAACTCGTTCTAAGGGAAAAATTGGACGCATTAATGTTCAAATGAGGAAGAATATTAAGAGATATACCTTGAATGTCTTGTGCAAACGAGGAAGAAATGAACTGTGATTGGTGACCGGAGGGTGTGAGGATTATGACCGGAAGAATATGGTGGTATCCGAAAGATTGGGTGGTCCGGAGGGTGGTCTTGGTAATGACCGGAGTGATGTGACTATCCGGTGGTGGGAGAGTTAGGGTTTGGTGGGAGAATTCTTTATGGTTGAGAGAGAATAGGGTTTTAGAGAGGGAGAAGTGTGATGAGTGTGTAGGGGGAAATTTGGGGTTTATTTGAAAATCTGATTTGCTAAGGCGCGCTTAAGCGCGGTTTTGTGCGCTTAAGCGCCCTCCCCGATTCAGGCTTTGGGTGGGTTGGGCCGCGCTAAAGCGGTCCTCTTTCGCACTTAAGCGCGGAGAGGCAGTGGCAAATGGCTTATTTGGCCTTTTTTCAGCGCGCCCTGGGTATGGGTGTATTCGAGGATCGCCCTTATATCCTGCGCTTAAGCGCGGAGGGGCAGAACCAAATGGCCTTTTTTCATTGTTTAGCGCGCTTAAGCCTCCTCACCTGCGCTTAAGCGCGGAGAGGCAGTGGCAAATGGCTTATTTTTCTTCAATTAGCGCGCTTAAGCCTCCATTTGAGGGCTTAAGCGCGCCCTGGGATTGGATTTTGAAGCTCGAGGAGCGCGCTTAAGCCTCCTATCCTGCGCTTAAGCGCGGAGAGGCAGTGGCAAATGGCCTATGTAGCGCGCTTAAGCTTCCCCTTGGGGGCTTAAGCGCGAGCTATGAATGGGTTCTTTCTAATCGTGGAGCGCGCTTAAGCCTCCTCTCCTGAGCTTAAGCGCGGAGAGGCAGAACCAAATGGCCTCTTTTCTTGTTTAGCGCGCTTAAGCTTCCCCTTGGAGTTTAAACCCTTTATAAAACATATAATTGTAATAAAAATCATGTACCTGAGCATGCTTTATTTCCACTTAGACCTGCACGTTCATCTCAACAAAAATTCATCATCCACCTCAATGTTTTTATTTTCTATGGCTAAGAACTAAAACTAAAAACTGAAATTGAAAATAAACTAATCAATTTAAAATACTGGAAGCTTAAATACTGGGTTGCCTCCCATAAGCGCTTGTTTTACGTCACGAGCTTGACGTACCTCCTTTACGTTTCTGCAAGAGCAACGGTAGCCGTTCCTCTGTCAATTTCTCCTCCGAGGTATGGTTTCAATCGCTGCCCATTCACCTTGAAGCTTCGGTCAGAATCAAGTGGACTAATTTCCACTGTACCATATGGACGGATTTCTTTCACTAAAAACGGTCCTGACCATCTGGACTTGAGCTTTCCCGGAAACAGTCTCAATCGGGAATTGTACAGCAGAACTTGCTGTCCGACCTTGAAGTCTCTGCTCAATATTTTTCTGTCATGCCACTTCTTGGTTTTCTCTTTATAGAGGCTTGCACTTTCATAAGCGGACAATCTGAATTCGTCTAACTCATCCAGTTCTTGACAGCCCACAACGCCTTGTGTTCCATCTCTACCGGCAAGTGACAAGCTTTCCCGAACAACATTTGAAACGGAGACATGCCAATGGGTGTCTTGAAAGCGGTCCGGTATGCCCATAGTGCATCATC